TGTCTGCGTACAAGTTCACTAACCAAAAAAGATGTTTCTGTAAAAATACCTATAACATTATACTGCTGATGATGGGTATACCATTGTTGTAGGTGAGAAGTTGGCAAGGTAAAATGCATTGCGTTATTCAATTTACATTTGTAAGCAACGATAAATCATTACTAACGAAATAGAAATGTATTGAAATTCCGTAATTTATTTGATTTCTGTACAATTTGAAATCATAAGAGTTTATAATAAAGCCTACTTGATTGTGCTTGGTTTTTTAAAAAAACGAAGCAGGTTCTTATGACCACGTGCTAAATTTTCAAGCATTGCTGTTCACCAAAAACAATTCTACCACGTTTGTAAAAGACCAATATAAGTACTCTGTACAAATTTAAGGTCTTGTACAAGTGTGTTTTACCGAATTGTATACAACAAGAACAAAAATTTTTCGAAAATCACCGTACACTTCTCGTTTTTCTACATTTGATTCCCGATTTTCTTCCATTATTATGAAAACTTCGAGGAAAGTCAATAGATGTCTTTCTCAGCACATCAACTAGAGTATTAATTCTTTTCGGAATATACGATACGTTTGAAAATCGGAACAGGATTTCTGGGAAAAAAGTTGTTCACGGCAAACGAAATAACACACCGTAATAAAATCGAAAACTTCGTCGCTGCGCTCAAATAAAGGATCAAATGACGCACTGTTGGGAATTTCAATAAAATGTTTCAAATTTTGCCGGACGAAAAATTCGCATCTTTAAATATACCGCGTGAAAAAAACCGGAGCATATTTACTATCCGAAAAAAAAAAAAACGCCACTCGTGTAGTGGAACCGTATACGGTAAAACTTTGTAATGGCTACTTCGTGACACTCGGTGTCGCACAATATCGATTCAAATGTAACGATATGATATTATTGTCGGTGCGCTTTATGCGCCGAAAACCGGGAAATAACCATCGCCGGTATAATACGAAAATATTGCGTGTACACGCTTACACCGAGATGGCCCGACCATTCGTGGTTGGCGGGGCAATGCGCGCTCTCATAAAAACTCCGGGAAAAGCCGCCAAAAAGAAAATAACAAAAATCACACCGTTATTCGTATTTTATTTTATTACAAAACATGATATTGTAAAACGCAAAAATTATTGCATCGCGGATCGACCGACTTGATATTCTAAGTCTTTCAAGGGGGGGGGGGGCGAGGGGGCCAAAAAGAAAAAAAAAAAAAAGGGCTTCTTCGAGGACCGCCCTACGCACTCGCGTTAACGGATACGCACGCGCGCGCACAGAGCCCCCGATTATCGCGAAAACGTTTCATCGAACGCGACAAATTTCTAACGTCTGCCCGTACACACTATTGCCGTACAGTCGCCGGAACGTACGTTGTTGTGCGTGCCGATCGCGCATTTTATAGGGACAATAATAACAACAACAACAACAACAACAATGGTAATGCGCGAAAAAGCCCGTAGAAATAATACCCGCACCGCCGTCGTTTCGCGTACACAATAGCGGGAAAACGCGTTTTCGTCTCGTTACGACGCGCGCGACACATCGACGAACAGTCCAAGGGAAACGGCGCGATTTCGCGCGGTGCGAGGACTTTCTATTTTTATGTCACTGTTCCATTTGTGCGGTCAACGGTCGGCGGCGGTGTGCTACGCGACGCCGGGACACGGTAACCCGGCGGATCGCCGTCGAAAATCGTCCGGTGACCCACGCAGCGGGCTACGAACACCGTATTATTATCGTTGTTATTGTCGTCGTCGCTGTTATCGCTATTGTAATAATTATCGTTGTACCCGGGAGGTGCCGAGGCGAATTTCAACTAATCCCGGTGTCGTCCCGGGACAAAAACATATTATGATAAATAATATTACACACACACGTGCCCCCGGATCCGTCCCGGGCGAGGTCGAAACGCAGCGGGCGCGGATTCTGCGCAGCGACGGACACGGCCGTCGTCGTCGTCGTCGTCGTCGCGGAGGTCTCCGCGATAATATTCGTTTGTCTCTTTGTCCGGCGGTTTATTTTTTTTATTGTTATTATTATTACTTTTTTTTTTTTTTTTCGGCCCTCCGCAATGCGATTTATCGCGCGCGCGTGCGTACGACGAAAACACGAGACGAAATCCACTTTCTCGGCCCGCCCGCCCGCCGGGACGCGGCTAGACACATTTTCGCACTTTCCGCGCCGCGGGGCTGCGGCCGCGGCAACGCGCGTCCGTCCCCGCGGTTTTCGCGGACGCGCAAACGTCGCGATGTCCGTCGGCGCGCGGGCGCGGGGATACGGGAATACCGCCCGGGCGGGTCGGTGGTGGGCGAGGAGTGGTGGTTGTGGGGGGGGGGTGACGGTGGTTGGCAGGGGGTGAAGAGAAACGGAAAAATAAACGACCGCGGTAACGATATTCGATATACGCGCGTGTGTACAAACGGACGTTGCGCGAGTACATTATCGTTGCCGTTGTCGTTGCGTCCGCGCGCGCGGTACAAAAGCGGTGAACGCGGTAAACGTGTCCGCCCCACCGACGCGGGACCGGCCGTCGCGCGCCCGCGTACGCGCGCGGCGGAAGGGACCGCCCGGCGGGGCCGCGATGTCGCGATGTCGCGCCCATTCGCGCGCGTGCACACGAGCCCATCGCGTCGCGCGTTTTCATACCGGTTTTCCGGACGTGCTACACGCGCGCACGCCGTGCCCCGGGGGTCGTGGTGACTCCCGGGCGAAAGTCTTGGCGCGCGGACGCAACGGGAAACGCGATTGTAAAACGAATAAAATACGGCCCGTTAATAAAACGCGCGACGATAACAGCGCCGTTGTACAGTACGCGCGGCCGACGTACACCCGACGTTATTATCGGCGTTGCGTCCGCGCCGCGACGGTAACATTCTGTTTTGTTTTGTTTTTTTTTTTTTTTGATGTTACGCCGATCACTCAATAATATTTTTCTCGACTTTTAAAGGCAAACAGTTATGACATTTCGGAGCAACGTAGTCCGCGAACTTTTGACCGAATGATTTTGTTTATGATAAGGCACTTTAACGTCAATATGCTACATTTTCTTTTATTTTTTGAATTTTCTCGACAGAAATTGTCGAGACTTTTTTTTTTCCACCGAGAATAGAATTGCAATTTTTTCGAATAACAATTTAACAGAAAGGACATTTCAGTGTCGTAAAATTATCTAAAGAGAATCCTAAAGGAAGAATCGCATTATCAGCTAGCCCGCCCCAAACTGACATACCGTACTGGAGTAAGGCTTGGTGCAGAGGTACACCATACGCAGTGTTTGTACTGAAATAACGTGATGTAACTTGCAGAAACCTAAACTCAGATTCCAAAGTGTTTCATCTAACTAGACTGTTTACAGTCTGTTTACTGTTCTATCGCGAATTTTCGTTGAAAGTTAAACCTAAATATCCGATACTAGAGACGCACTGTAATTTGTAACAACGATTACTGTCGCAAGGTATTTCATCATCACGTGCAATACAAGAAGTGCGTTTTTATTTTTTATCAGAAAATGCATAAATGCAGTTTTTTTGAAATTAATAGTTAACTTCCTAAAAATTAGTTATTCAATAACATCCCTTGCCCCGTATGACAATTTTTCTGAAAATGGTAGAAGTCGCCTCCAAATTTTTCAATAAATGACAAAATTCTGAGCGATATTCGGTGAAACGTACTGTTTTAAAATGCCACGATGTTTACACGATTTTCGTCAAAAAAAACTTTAAACGAAAAAACTATACTATATACATCGCGTTGAGTTCTTAATTATTTTTTTTTTTAATCCAATTACAATATACCACTTGTAAAATGTTCAAGCATTTCTGATTGGCAAAAATAATTTGATTCACATAAAAAAATGTTTCCCATTCAAGTCACCAAGGGAACCCAGAGAATCGATAAAAACAAAAAACAAAATTTATAATTTGTTTACTACATCGACTAACAAGTATGGGTTAGGTGTTGAATTTGGGAATAAAAAGTAACCTATAATAATATTATGGCTACTGAGTACCACATTTTATTGCAGTGAAAGTACTATCGAAGTCGATCCGACTTCGATCGAACAAAAACAGTTGAACCAGCTGTTTTTAAGATTAGCCAGGACAGACACTTCAATTACCTGTTGTATTTATACTGATGGTTGTTGCTTTTATACGCCTCATATAGTTATTGGAGGCACACTTGAGTGTTTATCTTGTAGGGGGCGATATTATTCACGCAACACACATACACACACACACACACACACACGCGCGCGCGCGTCACATATGTATTCCTAGCTTTGTAACTAATAATGTATTACAATAATCGTTTTAAATGAATCGTATTATACATTTGATTTTGAAATGCGTATAAATATGACGGACATACTTCGCACGTGGGTGGCCCACAGTTGTAGGTGAGAAGTTTTGAAGGTAGTAGAAGGGAAATTGAATGTATGTCTGTACGCAACGATTTACTATTGCTGACGAAAAACGTTAGAGTTTGAGCAGAGTTCGGTTGTAGTGTTGCTTTGTCATATATGGCGTACTTACATGTCCATTAAATATCTATATTCACTAATAAAATTTGTTTAACATTATCGTTGAGAAGCCAAAAAGTTGTGCCTGAATAAATGCAAGTCGCATATAAATTTGTATGAAACGGTGGTGGTTATAGAGATGATGCTGTAGACACTCACACTCCAAACAAACTCCCGGTAAACTACGATTCATATAAAGAAATGTATAGGTTTTTTTTTTTTTATATTGGTTCACGGATCCAAGAAAATAAATTATCGAAACGGTTATCGGTTTCGTATCGGCAACATACATCAGAATATCGGAAAATCGGCCCGGTTCTGTTAATTATGAAACGTACTATGCCGATTTTATGCGCACAATAATAACGACAGTAATACGACAATTATTACATATTTTATACCCAATTACGCCCCGTTCAATTCGTGCGCCGCCTGTTCAAGCGAATTCACATTAGATTAAACGCAGCGTATTATAATACTTCAATTGGCGGCGGTGTGGACGGGGTGACGGACGAGGAAGCGAAGAGGCGAAATATCACTTCCGCAACTGAACCGAACGATTCGCGATCTGCGGATTCGCAATAACCGCCGGCAATTTGATCATTTTCGCGTGCGGAATCGGGTTTAAAAATATGCTGCTGCTGCTGCTGCTGCTGCTCAGACCCGCGTGGCATTGTAAATCTGTTTCGAAATTTATTTATACGACAAGTCTCGTCTCCGATCCCCGAAAAGAAAACCGTATATGCGTACCCCGCGGAAAAGAAAACCGTATATGCGTACCCCGCGAACGTCCATAAACAAATTCTCGACGTTTTGCAGTTCGGCGCGCTTTTAACAGCGCGCCGAAACTCGTCCGCCGTCTTGCTGCGTTCAGTTTATATGCGCACGGGTACTCGCGTTATACTTTTCCGGTCGGTAAATTTGATAGAATTACCAAAGTTTTTAACGTGCGATACGACGGTAGCCGTGCACCGCATAAATTTCACTTTATGGACACCGGAGAGCTGCTGTATCTTGTTTAATCAGCGGAAATAACGGCACGGTAACAGCCGACAGGAACACGCGGTAATATTCCGAAACGTCAAAACTGCATGTTATATTAAACTCATGAAAACTGAGACGAATATCGCTGTAGTGCGCCGTTGTATTAAGACGCCGACACCGGTTATGCCGCAGGACGAAAATTGTTTTTAATTTTCATCGAATATAGTTTTACAATACGACTTTATTATTTATACTGTGCGTTTTTATTTTTTTCATATACACAAAAACATTTGTACTTCTAAAATAAAAGCCGATACTGCCCGCTGCTGTAGATGAAAAGTTCCAGGGAAATTTAGTTTATAATAAAATACCGTGTGCACTGTGCAACGACAAATCATTGCATTCGATAAAACAATTCCGAGCGGAGTAGTTAACTAATCGCGTTTTCCCTTATTGCCAAAGTATAGTCCAGATATCAACAAAAAGAGAGTCCTAGGGGTAAAATGCTGAACATTTCGATTAATGTTTCGAAAAAAGTACTACTGGACAGAGAAATTATACACAGCTTGAAGCACGCACCCAGGTACTGCGTGGAAAAATTGAAGAAAAAACGCAAAGTATGCGACAGTGCATGCTGGACGCTGCTCGCAGTCGGCTGCGAACTACCGGCGCCTCAAACGGTAGTCCGGTCGCACTGCGCGATCAACCGCGATGACGACAACTCCGAGGATCAAAAAAAAACACGTTCGGCCTTTTTTGTTTCCCCGCTCGAAAAACAACGGCGAAACGCGTGTTGAGCACCACAGCTATCTCGAAAGTTTTTAATATTTCGCCGCCGCACGTAGTAAACGCGTTCGCGTTTATACGCGCCGCGGTTCTACTCTCAACGTGTCGTCAGAAATATTGTCGGGCATGTCGCACGGGTCAGGGGCGGTTGGGCGGATCGACGGAGACGCGTGCCGTGCGCCGCTCGTCTGCACCGGAAACGTTCAAACGACAATACGCGGCTAAAAATATTGAATTTTTTTTTCTTTATCCCGAACACCTGCGACCCGAGACGACGGCGCGTGATATATTTTTATTTTTTTTTTTTTTTCGTACGGCTGTATAGACGGACTACGCACGACAGGCCCGATATTGTCCGACGGTACATGGCGCGCGCCGATCGGAAGAAAAAGAAAAAAAAAACCCGACAAAACGGTTGCGGACAAAACCAACGACGTTTGCCCGAGTGCGGGCGAGCCCGCACGCGACAATACGCGTTTTTTTCGCTTTTTCGCGCGTTCCACGGGCAACGCTGATTCTGTCGCGTCGGCGGCTTCGCGCGTATCCACTCGGAGAGAATATCGCGCGCGCCGTGAAAACTACAGTAGTGCCGTCGAACATAATGTTTTTTTTTTTTTCTCGTGTGACGTATAAATATTTTATTTCCCCCCTCCCCTCGTTCCGTATCGTCGTCGTCATCGCGGCGTTGTTGACAGAACGCTAAACGCGTCGACCGATCGCGTTATTATCGTATCGCAATGGCATTATAACGTGCCCGCACCGACATGACGCGCGCATTACCGATCGGCGAACGCGTACGCGGGGTTTTCATTGTTATTATTATTATTTATTTTTTTTGTTCAAAAAGGCCGTCCTCATATTAGCCGCGATCCCGCGCGAAAGCCGATCGGGAAGAAATACGAGCGCGGCGGTAATTTCGTCCGTGAACACCCCCCCTCCCCCCCGCCTCCCCGCACCCTCTCCTATCACCGCCCCGGCGTACGGTCGCCGCCGTAGATATTTTCACAATTTTCGAGACGGTGAACACGACAATTGCCGGGCGGTGCACAAAACGACGATAAATCATATTATCGACCTGTTCAATTGGTCGCGCGTCGTTGTCGCCGCCGAGAGACGTACAATTTATCACGCGATAATATTCGTATTCGCCGCAACAAGGCAAATGTTTCTCGTTGTTTTTTTTTCTCTATACACCGTGACGACACGCGACGGCTACGGCCGCTGCCTATGCGACGGCGGACCGCGTGTTTATCCGAATCGCGCACGTCATAACATATTGTTCCCGCGTCGTATTGCCGAACGGTTTTTTTTTTTTTTTTTTTTTTGACAGCATCGTACAGCCCGATAAAGAACGGACTGCGCGACACGTCGTGTCGTTTTTCTCGACTTTTCGAGAGAGCTAGAAAAATCGCTTGAAAACACCGCCCGTCTCAGCAAGTCCGAATTTAGCGGTACCACGCACACATGAACAAACACCGATAGAAGTCGACAGTTCACAAAACATTTTAGACACTGCAGCACAGCTGTTACAGACTCACAGAGTCTATCCGGTTCGTTTTTGGCGATTACGATTTAAGCAATACGTCCGCCGAACGATTCCCCGCGTCATTTCGCATAGGAAAGTGCTGCCGACTCGGTTCGGCTAAACAGTTAGATTAATCCAGCGCAGGCGTTGCGCCCTAACGACGACAGTATTCATACAGTGCGCACGCGTTTGTCGTTTATCGTCTATAAAACGGGTCGGTTTACGCGCAGTCGAGCGCAATTATTCGAATTCAAAAATTACCGATTGTTATCATACGTAATATAAAACACAATACGCGGCACGGAACACGCTCGAAATGTTTAAGCGCGATAAACGTTCGATTCGCTACCGAACGCGCGTGCACCGATTCTTCGTCGAGAGCACTTTTAGTCGTTTTTTTTTTGTTTTTTATTCCATCCGTCTCTATCCGCATAGAGAGAGAGAGAGAGAGAGACCGGCCGACGGTCGTTCAAGTTCCCAGAGTCGTCCGTTCACTATGGGCGCCAATCAACTGTTGTGTGCTATCGCGTGTCGCGTATAGTACGCGACGAGACGGGGTAGTCGGCCCGATGTTCGTTCGAAACTCCTGGTGCTGTTTCGACGGCACTCGACTACGACGGTCGACCGTATCGCAATCCCACGTTCGCGACGTCTCGCGGCGGTCGACGCGGGAGCCCCCTCCCCCAGCAAAATAATGATTGATAAAACTCGACGTTCGCGACGGTCGACTCCGGTCTACCGTATCGCAATCCCACGTTGTTTTTCGAATATTTTATCGGCCGCCAACGTACGACTGCGCCGACAATATTGCACGGTCGCTCTGCGGAAACTGTCCGACGGCAATTTACGGCCGGCCGACACGAACAATAGCCGGTGCGCGGGTAGGCACGTATCACGCCTATGAGCGACAACGGTATCGTCTGTCCGGAAATCGAAATCGGCCGCGTTGCAAATACGGCGGACGTCCGACCGTAACCGTATTGCGTACGCAGTCGCGGACGACGTGCGCGCGCGGTCCGCCGGGATCGGTCCCGAGGACCAGGGATACCGGCCCATATGTGTAGGCGAAAAAAGCAACATTATCGTTCCCGGAAACGCCGACACGCGCGCGGGCCCGCGACGTTATTTTATTTTTAACGCGAACCGTTCGCGGCGTACCCGTTGTAATATTTATAGTAAACCGATACAGGGCAACGCGTGTATAGTTATTATTGGCACGCGCGTTTGTCACGTCTTATTATTCGTGATGTCATTGATGCGGGAGACGATCGCGCCGCGGCGGCGGCTGCGACTGAGTAATGCACGCCCCTCCATCTTGCGGTTAAGGCGCGCGTTTTTAACGGTCCGTGACAAAAGTTAACCGACACCGACACGAGTCTTGTGTGTGTGTGTCTGTGCGTCGTGTTTTTTTTGTTTTTTTTTTTCATACTCTTCGCGTTTAATAATTGACTACGGTCTTGGTCCGTAATAAGAAAACGTCGACGACAAGACGGATACGAGGAACGTAAAAAAAAAAGTCGGTCGCCCCCATCGTATCGCGTATACGTATATTATTTTCTTTTGTGCGAAACACATCGCCGGTTCCAGATTAATGACTAATTAAAAACAAAAAAAATATCGTTGTAATCTTCTGCCGCGGCTAGTGCACGCGCGTCAGTGTGTTAAAAAAAAAAAAGAAAAAAAGATGAAAGGACGATGCACAATATAATTAGAAATAGCGTCAAAATAACGTCGCACATCAAAAGGCCCGGGGGCCGACGACGCTTCTCGGTTGTACACACACACACACACACACACAGCCGGTGTTTGTTTTTCTAAAAATAATCCTCGTGACGGGTAATGCGCGAATTTGGACGGATTCGTGCTCGGAGATTTCATTAGAGATATTTTGTTAATCTGCTGGTGGGGTAAAAAAAAAAAAAAAACAATCCATTCCAACCCGTCTAAAACACATAGTGCTAACAAATGCCGAAAAAACTAAACAAAAAATCGCCGCTCGTCATAAATTAAACGTTAATCGTTTATTTGTTTATTAAGCGTAAAAAAAAAATCCCCTCGTATTTACATCGCTCGAGTAAAAAGATAAGAGCACGGGAGAAAAACACACTAGGGGAAAGTACACACTTGCGTTTAAAACAATTATACGATAATACGTACCCATTGGATTTTTGAAAGTTATTTACCGCAGCTATTGTTTTACTAAATTGTTAACGATATCGATTAGTATTGTTAAACTGCAACTGTTCTTTCATTCTTTGTGTGTTATGTCTAAAACTTTTTAATTTCCGAATGTAGCGACTAGCGAAAAAGTCATTAGATTTAATAATATGTGTTTCCCCACACCCACGATAATCACTTTGGTAGGAAAATATGGTCTTGAAACATTGTCTGTTTTATTTTCGTTGATTTCTGATCGTTACCTTGGCAAGGGTAAAAACATAAACAGTTTACTATAATTAGAAACACAGGTAAGGAGAGGAGAGGATTGGTGTATTCAAACACCCCCCCCCATGTTGTAAAATAATTTACTGCTCATATTTTTTTTTTAAATAACTGATTCATTACTAATTGAAATTTTTTTATGTAAACCTCCCCCCACCATAACTAATATACACCTACGCCACGGATTATAACCTTATCAGATCACCCAGTTCCGGTCAGAATCATTTTTTGATAGCAATGAATTATGATTGCTTTCAATATCCAAACTCATTGACCCTAAATAATATCCTATAGGTAACTTTCAAATTCCCACCAGGCTATATGTATATGTATATTATGTTGTTTAGACCAATGAAGCAAATGAGCTGTGACTGCGCATTATAAATAATATTTAGGAACAGGAACACGAGCACCGCAGTAACGGGTCAATGTAGTTTTGCGATCGAAACACGTATGTGTGTATTGTTTTCGAGTCACCCGTATTTTTGTGCGTTCCGTATTTTATTGTAATAAGGAAGTTTTGATAGCTAGTGCGAAATATCGTTTATATCGAGTAGCCTCAATTCGTAGCCTTATTCCGAGTCTGATCTGTAAACGATTAGTTTATGGTCGTTGAATACAAGGTCTAAAAGAGTGAAACAGTCCTACCTACATTTTTGTAGGAACAATTTTTTAACCGTTTAATTTATGATCCTTTGAGTTCTGAAATTAGGTAGAGGCGTACCATTGAAAGATGGGTACACGATATTGTTTGTGCGGTCAGCTAATTTTACAATAATAATAATTGACGATTAATACTACATTATTTACAAAGTTATTGTGTGTATGGATTATATGGATTGTATGTATATTTTTTTTTGTTTTGACCTCAAAGTGTGACTTATAATAAACCTTCCATTAAAATTCTTAGCATTTCTGTTTGGTGCAATAATTTTATCCACAGGGTATATACCAAATAAAAATCACGCAAAAAAAACTCACAAAATTAAAATGTCTATTAATAGTTCAAAAATTACTCAAAAATTTTACTACGCCTAGAAAAAGTAACTCTAAGTTTTCTGTCAAAATTTTATGTCTCTACGAATATTTTTAACCGAATCACAACAACAAAAATAAAATTGAAAGTAATAATACCATTACTTATGTAAACTTTTTCTTTCTTTCCATGTTTTTTTTTCGGGTTTGCTCAATTATTTAAAATACTACAGGTAAAATAAAAAAAAAACTTTCCAACTAGATTAAAAATACGAGTACGTACATCAAATAAGGTTACTTGTTGTTTTTCTATTGAATCAATATTTCTGGTTGAAAACATAAGCCATACAAAAATTAAATAAACGCATTATAACGCCGTAAATTTATCAGTTTTAATTTTTTGTCTTTTCCAGGTTTCCAATTACTATAAGAGCTACTTGGAAAACTCTAAAATAACTTCCTTCGTGAGCATCTAAATCTGAAATTCAATAAAAAAAAGATCTCCTGTCGTTTTTTTGTCGGAGAAATATTTCTGCTTTAAATCGTAGTTTGCAAAAATTAAAAATAATAAAATCGTTTATGCCGTGGCGTGGCCTGCCGTAAATTTATTATTTACCGTTTAACCTAAAATTTTCTTTCCGATTTTTCCCAATCATTTTGGTTACCCTTTGGAAAATCAAAAAATGAGCTCGTCAGTACACAAACTAGATAAAATTTCTTTTCATAAAAGGTGCTGATTTATGTTTAAATTATTTACTGTTAAATATATAATATTCCTACTCATTGAACATCCAACCATCAAGTATTGATGGTGTTTTTGAATTATGAATTGTTAAAAAAGTTATGTTATTTAGTATCTTTTATATCGAACTGTATATTTTAGACAAAAACCCTACGAAATTTCCACCAAAATATTGTTAGCTGTACATTTTATATAGGTACTTTTACCCTAAAATCATAATTAAACTAGTTTTGCTTATTTTGTGTAAGCATCGTTTTTGCATGTTACCCGTTGGTTGGACTGAGCCAGTAGATGCGAGTATGTGACGTCTTCTTAAATGTATACATTTTTTTCTAGAAAACAATTAAAGAGTACAGTAATGAATAACCACAAGATAATATGTTTAAAAATGTGTAAAGAAGTCACTACTACTTAAATTGAAAAACAGTATAAACTTATTAAGTATACAGTCACAGATTAAATAAAGTCGAATTATAAACTGTAACAGATTTAAAAAAAATACATAAATATGGGTTCAATGCTTATCATTAACTAACCAGTAATTTAAAGCTACTCGAGATTCGGATAATTTTTGGTATTCCAATAATTTGCATTCGTACTCGTGTACACTCAATACACAATGTGTGTTAATTATTATTTGATACGATAATTATCGTAAAAGGTGTCGTATAATAACTACCACGACTGCATTAAGGTAGGTTCTAGTAATCGGTAAATTCAGAAATACACTATCTGGTTTTATACGATCTGTGGCACTATTGTTTTATTGTTTTATATTAGTTACTCAAAATAAATACCTGCAATAGCTAAGGAGTTTTATTGTACTATTATAACAACTTCAGTAATAAACATTTGAATTTTAAATAATTTTAATATTTGTTTGGTTTTGTTCCGCAAGTCTACGGCTTTATTAAGACCACTACAATGTACAATGCAAAACGTTTAAACGCATTAGCAAAACCGAAACAATTGCCCGATCTAAGATACATGCAATATACACAGTCTGTATCGAAATCGGCGGTGCAGTATACTCTACCCAAAACAAGTCGTATTTGGGATTTGTCTAAACCAAAAAACAGACAGCTCAACCCAAGACAGCATAAAGTTCTTAAAACAATATTTAATGAAGACCGTAACCCGAACAAATATGAGGGTATAAGGTACAGAATTATAGAGTTAGCTCAACCAAAACTAGAAAATAGACACGTGCACAACACGTGTGTAGAAATACCACCTGAAAAATCTTACCGAAGACCATTTGAGAAGCAAACAGCTTGGCTCAAAAAAAATTCTGCTCCTAGAAAGATGTACCGACCGCCGATAACAAAAAAAAATTATACGAAACTATCTGAAGCTGAAATCGAACGATTTTTTGAACGCTTGGCAATGGTACCGGAATCAAAACGAAAAAAAACAATAACAAAAGAACATAAACCCAAGATTAATACATTACCGGATTCAATGCTAACTTCGGTAAATCATTTATCTGTACCGCGGAAATTGGCATCTGAAATGAGGTTGAATTTTGAATTTGACCCATACATTATTCCACCGGAGGTACTAAATCATAAAGCATCAAAACGGACACAAGAATTAGCGGAACCAAAAGTATATGAAACGTCAAATCTGAAGGATGCCGTAAGGGAAAATCCTTTTGAAATTTCAAGGAGTGCGTTGAAATACAAGGCTACCCCACTTATCAAAAAGTTGGCAATGCCAAAGCAATATGATTAAATTTAATGTCATTTATAATAATACCATTTGTATACGAATGCTTGAAAAATTCTTCTAAAATCTCTCAGTAATGTTTCTTGAAAATTAACACATTATTAATGTTAACATTTATAAATTATAGGTACCTAACCAATCGAATAGACCGATTCCATGTGTACTATACTGTAATCAGTATTGTTATTTGTTTACAAATACTGTTTTCATTTTGAAAGACTGATTTAGAATAATGTTTCAACCAACTAAATATTAGTCTGTGCTATAGAAACGCGTAACTAATTAATCCCAAATTTTGGGCTTCGGTACTATTCGTCGATACGACAAGCACAGGTGAAGCTATCCAAATTTTTTAGGGGACTAAACGCCCTTTCAGAAAAAATGAAATTGAAACAAAATTGTTAAAACACACAGTACTTACTTCAGTAACACCATTAAATTAGTTACACATTTTTTTTTTTGCTATAAAATAACTATTTAATATAATTTAGAAATACAAGTAATCAAAAACATCAACCAACATAATATTTACAACATTGTTTTTTTTTTTTCACTTTTAGAAAATGTATTTAAAATATTATGTACAACACGTGCTATATGTTACAATCACGGTTAAGAACGTGATTATATTGATCACTGTTGATACTGTGATCAATCTATCGCAAAACACTCATTATTTCAGAAAATATTAACTTTTATCCACAGAGTACCTACCGAATAAAAATTACGTACAAACTTGTAAAATTAAAATATAATAATTATTAATTACAAATTATACTACGCCAAGGAAAGGCAAATATAAGATTTCTGCCCAAATTCCAAGTCTCTACGAATATTTATAAATGATTTGCAACAAAAAACAAAAATGAAAATAATAAAAATCAATATAAAAAAAAAAAAAAAATGTTTTTGGAAAAATAACGCATCTTCGCCGAACCGCTAACGACAGAATACACACACAACAGACGAGAAAATGAGAATTCTACCAAGGCAGATAAGAAGTGCTGCGAGTAATTCTACCGAACATCGAGAAATTAAAAACGCGCAAGGTTCATCACAATAGACACAAATAGAGACACGTAAATTGCTTCTATGTCAAAATGGAAGGTTGGAATTCTAAAACCAATGACCAGAACGTCGAAAAATAATCATAAATAAAAAAAAATGTATTTATCAATCGTGACCTTTAGGTATGCAGTTAAAAATTGTTTCGAACAACTATATTGTTATTGTTATTACTTTCGGTAACTAGTAATTTGGTCGCGTGTATTCCATTAAATGTTTGTCATATTCGTACTTTCAAGTGCAAACCACAATAGAATAATAGGAGGGAAAAAATGGTAATTTTATTATAATTTGGTTCGAATGAAATCGGTACAGCAATATTGTATACAATTATAATATGGTATGTGTGTACATTCGAAGAAAATCGTTGATTTTTTTTTTTTTTTTTACTATACTCTGTCTTCACTTAACACCTTATGGGAACGAGGACATTATAACACATTCGTACGGTCCGAATAAATCAGCATTTTCGACAAAGTCGTTTTACAAACGATTTATATGAAATAAAATACGCGTGCGTTATTAAATCAACGGCAATACGTTTTCACTTTATCAAAATCCAAGTCGATGATAATTTATATCGACCGTCGCCGCCGCCTTCTACGTTGTATGATTAATTTCCACTGTAGTTATGATACGCCGTTACTATAATAATATTAACACATCACAGTAGTTAATTACTTATTAAAAATTTCTCCCGTATACAATAAGAAACTAAATTGCACTACAGTAGATTTGACCAGCATAAAAGGATTTCGCACCGTTTCGCGTTCCTTTGTTGTAAAAAGGAGGTCGCTCTAAGGAACGGCAGTTCCTGGAATTCGTTCCTTTTGTAAATTGTTCCTCCCAAACACTATCGACATCTTTTTGTAGCTAATTTTTGAAACTTAAATGGCCTTCGTTCTATTAGCTCATCGGATTAAACTAGGTAATTAAAGTTTTGAAATTATAAATGTCTAATTAATTTTAAATATGAATTTCAGACTTTCAGTACGTTATTATCGTTAACAAATGAAACCAGGAGGATGGATATTTTATAAATTTATTGCGTATTATTAGTGTGAAGAATATGGCGTTTTTAAAGTTTCAGATTTCAACTTTCGCCTCAACGTTTTTTTCGGAAGTAGTATATAGTTGCTGTAGAAATACGTATCATAAAAATCAAGTCTTCGGTTATTTAATGTCTAAAAAAAAAAAAAATATTTATTTTCTATACATGCGGGGGAGGGGAGAAATTCGACTCTAATGACGGAGTTCTGATGCTCATAACCTCTTTCCCACGGGAATCGTTTTCTAATTATTAGAATGCTTAGTCGCTCCTATCAAACACCATAAAACACTGATAAGAGGGTATTCGTTGCTGTATAATATAATATTAATCGGTCCCCAGAGACGGTTCCCGAAACAATCAACTTTACGATTAGACACAATAATATAATAATATTTCACTGCTACAAAACCACGCACATAAATCACGCATATTATAATGTTGTACAGGTATTATACTATTATCTTCGAGTAGTACAAATTACAATTATTATTATTGAGTTAGGCGTGCTCACATTAACAGGGCCAGAAAGGTATTAGACCTGAAACCGAACTTTAGTTTAATTAATCATTGATTAACTTTCGTCGGAAGTTTAAATTGACGTTTTTTGAGAACATAATATATTGCACAGTGCAAATGGTATTATATTGAAACGTATTATTGTTTATTACCGTACAACCGTAGTACCTACAGTTATTTGTTCTTTTCGGTAGTTTTATACTTTCGCAGCCGTAATTTCGGCGTCGTAACTCTTGAGAGTATAAAACAGTAATGAAACAAAGGCTAATACAGCTGATGTGTGTGCCACTATTTTAAAAGGAAAGGCGGAGTGGCTATCTAGAATATAGAGCAATAATCTATTGTACACTGTATAAAAAATGTAAACCATTGACAACGAAAAAAGATTCTGAGGAGCAGAATATTAATCATATTATTCCCCTTGTTGCCAAGGTGATCCGGAAATGAATAATAATCGTACAACAAATGTCACTTTTAGGTTTTCTTAACAAAGATTTAGAACACATAAAATCCTCGTTGTGTCCGTTAATCCGTTACTTACCGGTAAGTACAAACCCACAAAAAAAAAAAAATCAAATAACCACTTCATTCAAAGCATCAACTAGATCGAAAATTTTACAAGAAAGTCAACGTGGAGTTTTCGATCGGATCAAGATTTCTGAGATGAAAATCGCTTACAAACACGAAGCATGAAAAACATAATACATAAAACAGTATGCATTCGCTTCTCTGAAAATCTAAAAATATTACAAACTTTGTGGAATACGTCATGGTCCAACGGAAGTATGTCAACAGTAAAATTCATCAAGGGCGATTCAATGTTTAGCTAAGCTTTTATGAATAAACTGCGACTATTTGGCCCGTAATAGATACCTATTATACCGCAGTTATCGTTTTCGTCTGTGTTTAATTTTTGTTAAAAAAAAAAATAATAACACGGTACGAGTATAATAATATGTATACGCGAACCCTATAAACAATGATATTATGGAAAACGGCGCCGAAAACGTTTTTTTTTTTTTTTTTTTAGGATGCCGTCCAAATCGAAACCCCCGGGGCGCGTTCACGAAAACCTTTATAATATTGTACGCGAGTGCAGTTGCAGTCGTGTAACGGACGTTTGATTTTAATGTAAAAATCCGTTTTAAATAACTACGAACAAGCACCGCTTATTCTCACAAACGCGCATCATAATAATATTTACATTAATCCGTGTTCGGGTGTTGTGGCGATGTCATCGCGCGCGGCGCAACCTGTACGATTCGGCGCGCTCCGGGCGGAAATAATACGGCCGTATTGCCGGCATAACAGTTTTATACGCGGGCCCCGGGTCCTTTTTAATGATAATTCGAGATTCGAGTTTGGAAATATTATTGCCGTAAGAAAACGGAGCCCGCCAAAAGTCTCGTCTCGCCGCCCGCAAACCGGACGGCGTACACGAGTCTTAATAATTATATTGTATACAATATATTCTCCTCTCTCTCTCTCTCTCTCTCTCTCTTTCACCCCCGACAGGAGTGGGCGTCGTAGACGTGAAACGCGCATATATTATTATGTAACAAAGTTCGCGAAAAAAAAAAAAAAAATAATAATAATAATAAAAACACTCGGACATTACCGTACGCGCATTTCGCCGGCAATATTATAACCGTTCATTTTAGCCGGTAGGTGTTAATTTAACGCCTCCGTTCATTTGCGCGTTCACGTGGATGATATCGTCGCGGTGACGACGCCCGCCGCTCTTTCATATGGACATCATTGCCGTGTCAGCAGTCGCGCCGACACAGACAAACGACGGAATACAATAAAACCGCTCCGCTGCAACGGTGTATTACAGGCGTGCAGTGGCGATCCGCACGACGCGTATAAGTATCGATAAAAACATAAAAAAAAAAATTACTCAAAGGCGATTATGATTATAATACGTATGCATTTTAGATTCCGAGTGGAGCGAGAAACGCATTGGTTTCACGGCGATGTCTGTTTTTCCCCTTTATTTTCCCCAAATTTTTCTACCAGCAACTTTGACCCACCGATTAACAGTATGGTAGCACTTATTCTAAAAGGAAATCTGACTGGGAATACCTCTTTTAGGCGAGTCTTTTTTTTTTTTTTTTTTGATTTTCCCAATAAATCGGGAAAACGGGAAAATAGTTACAACACTAAATAAATATTATTAAAAAAAATGTTTAATGCATGCATGTAATTATTTTACCATAATATGACATAATATAGACTGTTGAAAAAGCAACACTATCAACCGAATTCCGGTCAGAACTGTTGGGTTGAATTTTGAAGTGAAATGACCCCAATCCTTTTGATTTTCAAACGGCCACGAACGTTTTCAACATTAATATTTATAGAACTAGTTTTA